CCCCAAAACCCCAAAACCCCAAAACCCCAAAACCCCAAGATTTTAAGAAAATTTATTCTTCATAAATAATGGTATTTGTGCTCAAGTTATGTCTAGCTTAATAAAGACCTCGACTATGATTCTGCCCAAGAAGACATGAAACAAGAGTATGTCATAGGGGTTTTATTGGTTTGTGGACTTTTCTGATCACTTCTATAGTCCAGCACAGAGATTAAAGTCCAAATCTGACCCAAAAATCACACCTTCTGAGTAACATTTTAATAATGATTTAAAAAGAAACCCCAAAATTTCAGAATTTAGTAAGATAAATATGCAGATCAAACAAGAAATGGCCTTAAAAATGAAGCTGAAACGATACCTAAACGAGTATGATTCAGGTATTGTTCCTCAAATTATTTCATCATAGACCAAATTGTTGACTTGAATGCTAAAATTTCATCTGAATATTCTCGTGAGAAATAAACTCATTAGGGAATTGAGCATACTTCAAACCAAGGCCCATAGCCAGAAAAAGGGAATGCTAAGAGAGAATGCCCAAGATAGCTTAAAAGCGAGGTCTTGTCATGAAGCCAGGCGTGAAGAATCATATAATAATCATTCCCAAGAGTAACTATTTTATAAACAAACTTATTATTTCTAGAAGAGAAAAACTTCAGAAGGATATCATCAACAAGCAAATTGAGCGGATCTTATCCCAATACGAGTCTGATGAAGATCTGGTCAGTAAGACTAATATTTTATGATTCTTTAGAGATAAGAAATCATCAGCCTCAGAAGAAAAACGAAATTCAGCAGCTAGAGCAAAAGATCAAGCAGCTTGAAACTTCTGCTCTTGAGAAATCAATGCTAGTAAGACAGAAGAAACTAGAATTAAAGACACTTCAGAGGAAGATTAGAGAGAAAATTATTGATATCAAGCAAGCTAAGGTCCTAAAGAAGCTCAAAGAGAGTCAGAAAGTAAGTTTTATTTCATTAACCTCAGAACCTCAAAAGAGTATCCAAGCTAAGAAAGACCAGGAATGGAAAAAGTACTCTTGGCCTTAACAAAAATAGATAAAATTCAAGTTGACTCTGAATCATATATGTTCAAAAGCGATAGAGGGAATGATTCCCATCGTAGTAAAGAGACACCTTTGACTCTTTCTCACTCTGAGATTACACCTATCAAAGTCCTTCTTACTCATAAGGCAGATAAGAAGGTAGAGGTGCATGTTTAGCTATAGAAGCCAAAGAGAGTCACCCCACTGCCAGATCTCAAGAGGATCAAACGGAACTTAATCATGAAGGCATATAGGCCACTTAGTAATGAAGCATATGATCTAATTCTTTAGCTGAATACAGTTATAAGCTTAATGAGCACAGAATTCAGAGTATTAAAATGAAAGGAGGCTGAGGTAAAACACATATCCAATTGAGTCTGGCTCTAAAGCTCTCTTCAAAATCTCAGCAACCAGTTTTAGTTTGCTCTACACATTTTTTATTAAGTAGCAAGGTATTTAACAAGAGAATTTAGAAAATGAACAGAAGATAAATAAAAATGAACATCGTAAGTCTATCAAGCTTCCACATATTACTGTTGTAAAGATTTGGAAATTTGAATAAAAATATTAAGAATTGAGTTTTGAAAAGAAGTTTTAAGGGCACCATACTTCTATTTCGAACTTCAGAGATTTTTAATATTTGTAAAACTAAATTTTGTTAAATCTCTGCTAAATTATAATCCTTGAGTAAACCAATTCCTTAATAGAGCATAAAATCTCTGCTTAATCTATATTCCCTTTACTCTCATTTTCTTCTCTAAATAATTATGCCAAACTCTCAGAGAGTAACACTTCCGATCTAATTGTCCGTGAAAACCTATTAGACAGAGCCAATTCCCTTATTACCACAATAGGACCTAAGTAAGTGTAGTGTAAGTCCCCTCTTGACCTCCTTCTCTAGGCCTGCAGAAGACCGAAACACAAACGTAAAAATCACAGATCTTGAAGCTTCAGTTGACGTTCACAGATTGAAGGAGTCCAAAAGCGTGAAGCCCAGGAGGATGCCCTTCCTCCATATCTATAACCAGAATATTAAGTTGCCTTAACTATTGCATTCATCTGGGATTCCGTGCCTAGGGGTTTTGGGGTTTTGGGGTTTTGGGGTTTTGGGGTTTTGGGG